TCTTTCGTATAATCGTTTTGATGTTTGGTGTAAAACAATATCCAATTATTACAACCATTAGTACGGATATATAAATACCTATAAAAATAATACGAAAATGATACTTTGTCGGTGGTGTAAAAAAAGATGTTAAAACAAATATCATATATGGTAAGCCAAGGACAATAAGAGTATTACAAAGAACGAAAGTACGTTGCACAAGTCTTAATTCTCGTCGAGCATGAAATAGAGTATTATTTGATATAGTACGAAGACTGATTTGTTGAACATATCGAGTCAATTTAATATAAACAATAGTGATACCAAAATTTGGAATAGCATAGATAATTGCTGCTCCATAGACTACTGATACAGATAAACGAAGGGGTACTTGACACACTTGATTGTCAATATTGTAAGTAATCTGTCCAGTGACGAACAGTGGAACCATATCGATAATACAGACAATCCAAATTACACTTATTAGACAAAATTGAGTTTTAACTGTTCGCCATATAACTTTATTTGGATAGACTACAGATATATACTGATAAACGGCTGTTAATAAATATGAATAGTTCTGCAGACCATCAGCAATAAATGCTAAGAAACCTAAAATGATACAGAATGAAGTATTATTTTCACTGCTCTTCTGTAAATCATGTTGTAGTGTGAATATTGCCATATTGAGTAAAACACAGCTGAAAAGAATTACAGCTATACATGAATTGCATACTAAAAGCAATTGTACCGATGAATATGTTTTATGTTTTATAATAATGAATAAATATAAAAGACCGAATATAATAGATAATGAAGTCGATATGATGCCAATAATATCGAAGGGAACAAACCATACTTCGGTCTGAATTAATGTTGAATCGTTTATGAAGTTTACCATTTCCATAGAATTTACAATTATTTATAATTGTAGATTAAAAATAGATAAATTTACCAAAAGTATTTCGAGACTTTCTATTATAATTCTATAAAGAAAAACTACAAGAATATTTTATATCATTGACAACAATAAAATTAAATTTTTTCTTGAAAAGGAAAAATGTCTTATTATTCTCTTTGAAGATATACCTAATTAAATATTATAATTGTGATGTCAGTTGTAAATAATTATTTATAGATTGTCAACAACAACATTTACTTATCTCACTGTAATTAAAATCTTTTCAATTTACTCTTTTTAGATAGTTCTTGTTATATTCAAAGTATAATTTATGTAAAGTTTTTTCTGTTAATTTGCTGTAATAGTTCTTCCGTATGTTGCAGCTGTGAATCTTATTGTCATTGGTTCAACTGGAGTTGATCGAGTAAATTTCTTTCGTATAATCGTTTTGATGTTTGGTGTAAAACAATATCCAATTATTACAACCATTAGTACGGATATATAAATACCTATAAAAATAATACGAAAATGATACTTTGTCGGTGGTGTAAAAAAAGATGTTAAAACAAATATCATATATGGTAAGCCAAGGACAATAAGAGTATTAC